ATTCTCCAACTAGAATTTACGATTCAAATGTAACTCATTTGAATATTGATTCCAGATACTTTTATTTTTAACATGCTTGATTTGGATTCTATGCCACTTCTTAAAACCGACTTTATGATACCCTACACCAATTAGCATATTTAGTAGAGGTTTACAAACAATTAATAGTTTTTATGGCAGAATTAAATCATACAAGCTATGATTATAATTTTAATTTAAATTTCAAAGGACTAAATATGCCGAAGCAATTGTATTTTTTCAATAAGGGCATGTATTGCCCATTTGGTGCACAATTAACTTAAAATTGGATATAGATATATATGGTACCTATATCCAAATCTGAACCGATCTCGATAAAATTGGCAAAGGTATTTCTGAGCGGTATTTGATATATTTCCCTTAATATCGTTTTTACAGAGTGCATATTACCGCTGTGAGGAACAAATATAACAAATAGAATGAACAATATATATGGGAGCTATAAATATATATTTCACCAAGTTTGTCTAGCTTCTAGACTCAATTCGGTCATATGTGCCAAATTCTATCCCATTTGGGCTAATATTACACGTTTGGTGCTCAAAAAAGCCAAATCGGACGAAGTTATATACAGGGTTGCCCATATTCGACGGCCTCCAATCGACGAGGCTTGTCCGCAGCGTCAATTGAATTTTGTACGGGAACAAATGCAAATCAATGCGAATAATCCGTTGTAAAGTGGACCGAGCCATGCCCAACTGCTGAGAACGGCGTTTTTGGGATGTTCTTGGGGACCTCTCAACACTGGCTCGTACGGCAGCGATATTCTAGGCCGATCGCCTTGGTCGACTTTTATATGGCCTCTTCGGATTAGAAAAAGCCTTACCAGTCGAAAATTTTTCGTATAAACGATTAATGGTGTTCTTAGAAGGCGCACTTCCCACATTTTTTAATGTTTTAAAAGCACGTTGAGTTTTCACAATTGACTTCTTCTGTTGAATGTAAATTTCAACTATTTCTGAGCGCTCGCGTGGCATGTATTGGTTCCTGGTAAAAATCTGCTTGGACTGACGCTTCAAACGCGGTATGTCATTAAGAGATGTGACATCTCTGTCAAAAGTTATGGCGTTTCCAGATGGGTCCGTCGAATATGGGCAACCCCTGTATGGGAGCTTTTTCCAAATCTCTTGGGCCAAACAAATGATTTGTGCAAAATTTCATCTGGATCGGGCAATAAATGTGGCCTGTACTTTGTATACAAAAATACATGGACAGACGGACGGACATACAAAAATCTACTCAGAATGTGGATTTATGCAGATCATCAAAAGGAACTATGGGTCTATCTCGTTTCCTTTTGCATGTTAAAAACAAATGCACAAAGACATAATACCCTGACCACCTTTTGGCGTGGGGTATAAACATTAAATAACACTTTTTATTTTACTTAGTAAAATTGAAGCCCTTCTTTAAAGATTTCTCGATTCCTCACTTCCTTTCATCGCAGCGTTATTTCACTCACTGTTTTTTCAAAATCATTCATTTAAATAAAATATAAATTTTGTGCTAGAAAATAATAAATGCATACCATTTATTATATGGAAATCCAAGAAAAACCTCAACGTCAATGACACTGTAATTTACCACAAACAAAAACAAAGAAGAGAGAAGAAAAACACAAGAATAAGTCGAAAAACAAAACAAACAAAGGAAACATTCAACGTTTAGTCATCTTGATTATAAGCTGTTGGATTTTTTTTTTTTTTTTGCATATTTAATTCTATATATATACATATTTTTTTCATTTGGTTCCATTGGATAGAGGATCATGGCTCAAGCTCTCATTGTTGAGAGTATTCTCAATTATGTGATGGCTGCTGCTGTTCATTTAGTTTTGTTCCTGCTGCCAGAATGCATCTTGCATTGCTGGCCAAGATATTCTTGTGCTTTACTTTCTTTCGAATATAAATAAGAAAATACTTGTAGAGTAGTTTTTTGCTCCTATAAAAATTGTATTTTTGGTGTGGCGCATTTGTTAATCCGCCGCTGTTCCAGTGTATATGGTATTTCTGCACTGTACTTCGGGAACGTCAAGAAAATATAAAATAAACACACAAAAAAAGAAAGACAAATGCAGTGCAGAAAGGGGGCAACCTACGAGGAATATCAAGACATTCTTCAAGTGGCTCTTTTGTGTTTTTTGTTGTTATTCTTCCTGTTTTTTTGTCTCTTGTCTCTCTGGCAACTTAAGTCGTTTGAAAAATATTCATTAGATTATTTATTCGTATTCGTATTTTTTGTTGCTCTCATTCGCTTTGTTGTTGTGTCATAGCTGTTTTATTCTTGGCTTTCCTTGTTGTTTTGCTGCTGTTGCTCCTGTTTTCATTCTTAAGCAATGTTTGGTTTTTAATATTTTATTTTCACTACTTGACTATGAAGTAGCAAGTAACGTCATTTTATAAATTTCTTGTTTTGTATTTCGATTGCTGAGGCGCAAACTTCTGCATAACTGCCAGTAATAGGTAGCAAGCAGGATTATTGTGTTTTTCTTTTAGATTCTTCTTCTGTATTTCTTGCTGGCTTGAATTCAGTCTGCTTTCGGTCTCCTCAGCTCTGCTCTGCTTGTGCATTTCATTTATTTTTAATGAAAAGTCTACAAAATGGCAAAAAGGGTTGAATAAATTTATGCTATGGAGTTGTATTTGGAATTGCGATTTTCCTTTTGCCTTTTCCTTTGAATTTCCCCACTCTCTATTGGAGCTGCTGTGAATAGTAGTAGTAGAAATTGGATTAAACATTTTTTTCTTACATTTAAATGAGAAGTTTTAATGAAGATTTAGTTAATTGTTGAAAATGAAGGATTATGCAATTATGTTGTGTCATTAAATTTTATTATAATTTTAAAAATATGCTTATTAATTTTATTAGGTATATTTAAGTTGAATGACCTGTAATGGCCATTATTGGGCGAATTTATAGATTAATTACAATAAAACGGGTCTTGTGGAGAATGAGAACTTTTTGAGTTTCAAATTGTATAATGGCATGAAATTGTGAGATATACACCTAATAACACCTACGCCACTCTGAGCTGAAGGGCATTAGTTGAAGAAATCCTTGTACAGTTAAATGTGGATACATCTTCAGCTTTGAACCCCCTTCTCTTCTTCTTTCTGTCTTTTTATTGTAAAAAAATCATTTTTGGAATAGACTCTACATATTCTCAAATACTTAATCTCGGTAAACTTACACCAGGTTTACCCTTTATAATAATGCTGTACAGGGTATATTACAATTCATTGGTCATAGGAAATAGTACAAAATTGAAAGGAATATGGAAAATTTCGTGGGAAAGGCATCTTTCTCGACAAAGGAACAACGTTTTGAATAACAGTGTACAACAAAATCCAATTATTCACAAAAGAACAGAAAACAATCGTAAATATTATTAACGTGAAGCTAAAAATATTAGACACGTAACTGGGAAATTTAGAAAGCTTATATCGGGAGGTAACGCAAATATTGCTGGAAATTTCCGACCATTTTCACATTCTCAAAGAAACCTGCGTCGCAGTGGCCGAAAGATGACTCGTGAGCTAAACATATCGCAATATTCCATTCGGCAAATATTGAAAAAAATGAGCTTAGGGTAAAGCCATTGAAATTCGAAAAAAAAATTTGGCCGAAAGTGGTGAACTGCCGAATTTGGTTTTCTCCGATGAGGAAACATTCGTTGTCCAGCAGTTTGTAAAGAAACAAAATGATCGTGATTACTTGCCAAAGAGGTCAGATAAAAATGTGCATCTTCGGTTGGCCCCCTATTGCTTGCTACCTAATACAGATTGTGTCTGGAGTTTTTTGGAAAGCCAGGTTGTCACTTAAAAATAACCCAAGTGTCGATAACCTCAAGCAAGCGCTTTGCCGGGAATGGATCAAAATACCGCAGAGCAACATTCGGGCAGAGTGTGGCAGTTTCATTGTCTGTTTGAAGGCCATAATTCATCCCAAAGGTGACCAATTCGAACAATTCTAAACTTATTTTAAATTTTTATCTATCTTTCACTCAATTAAATTTCCCACAACATAATCATAATTTCGTACAACAAAACATAATCGTGCAACACCCATGATTGTGTCCCCTTCTCACATAGATACTCTCTGATACACACTATAAATCCAAATGTTTCTTATTCACCATATTTGCTACACTACATATCTTAAATCATATATAATTTGCACTCATCAACCTGCAACAGACAAAAAAGAAACAAATGCTAAAAATCCTAAATAACGACCAGATTTGTACTTTAATTGCCTTTTGAGTGTTTGCACAAACCAAAGACCCCCAACCCTTCCCGCATTTCTTTAATCTGCATCATCTTTCTGGCTAATTACACTTGAAAATTAAAACTTTGAATACAACTTGGGAACTAAAAACACACACACACAAATTAGATGAGAAGAAAAAAGTGGCAAACCAAGAGTTCCAAGAGAACTCCAGCAGTGGTTAAGTCTAAATTATAAATGATAAAAATTGTGAAAGGGGGGAAAAACAACAATGGCAGTATGGAAAGAAAGGCGACATTGAAAAAGTGCAAAGAATAAAAAAATCACAACGTAAATATATATTCATATCAGAGACAAGAAATCTGCTGTTTTTTACATTAAATGAAAAGTTCCCACGCGCACACACCCACAAAGTGCCCAAGTAATGCACATAACTCTATATAAAATGACATTTCATTTTGTTATTACTTTTGTTGTCTTGGTTTTTTCACTTCTTTTTGGGGGCATTTTTAAACTTAATGTAAGTTGGTTTTATACTGTTTGTATATATTATTTTTTTTTATTTTTCTTGTCTATTTTCCCACAAAACAGCAACTGTTTTCAGTGCTCTATAACTTCTTATTTTGGCAGAATAGAATTTTTTCCCGACTCTGTACTGATTTTCATTCAACTGATAATGGTGGTATTTTCATTTTTTATTATATTTTTTCTCTTGTTGTCCTCGTCTCTTACAGATGCACCCATTTGTGCCACAGATCACGATGAACTGTTGGGTGCCCTGAAGCATGAGACGTTGGCGTTAAAATGTGAAGTGGATGCATCACCGCCTGCGGATTCATTTCATTGGACATTTAACTCATCCGGCGAACAAACCGAATTACCAGCACGATTGCATTCAAGTGAAGTAAGTACTAGCATATTATTCAATGCCCCACAAATGGGGCCCCAAATTTTCCAATTTTATTTACTATATTCATGTGTGGATTCCAGAGTGATCTTTCAGTCAATTAAGGTACTGTAATGGGCACATGTATAGACGGGAAGGAACGCCGCAAGAAGCGAGACATTTTTGTAGATGTTTAATGGGAAATTGCTTGTCAAGTAATTTTGGAGATTTTTTAGATTTGCAACTTAATGGAGAGGATATGAAAAAAAGAGAGAATTATAGAAAAAAAACTCAGTAGATTATGAAAGTAGAGCTAAAAAGAGAAGATATGTAAAACGATGTGTTGAAAGTTTACATTGCTAAATAACCTGACCAAACTGAATATAGACTACAAATCTGGTTAGCAGCCCATTGGCCTGTCGCACAAAATAAGTTGTTATTTTCTGACTACTAAAAGTCGATAAAAAAGTAATTATTCTATTGGCTTTCAATTTCCAAAAAAAAAACTACATATTTTATTCTTGGTAAAAATTGGTTTATAACGCCGATCAAAATTTCCTCCTCTACATTTTTTTTTTTTGAAATTTTCGTATTAAGTTGGAAAAAATTTAAGGTTAAGTTTCTACTTCAAATTGGTTTACTCAAAATTGACCTACAAAAAAAGGTAAAGAAACATGACTTCAAAGACAAAATTATTCTTCATAAAAATTTTCAATATAATCCATTAAAGAAGATAAATATCTTGTCTCGTTATATATTAAGAAAATATTGTCTTAAAGTTGCCAAAAAAAAGTAAAAAAGCAGTAAGTTCGGTCGGGGCAAACTTTGGAACGAATTAGGAAATTTTCGAAAAAATAAAATCCATTAAAAATTCTGTTAAAATCATAAAAATACCGAATATCAGAAGCTGTCGATATATGGGGGATATGCGATATTGTGGACCTATACAGATAATTCTCTTCCAGGGGATAAAGTAACTCACAAGGAACTCCTTGTATGGAATTCCAGACAATTCCATTGAAAAATGTGGCTAAAATCATCAAAATGCCGAATATCGGGGGGTACCGTTATATGGGGGCGATATGATATCTTGGACTGATATAGCCCTTCTTCGAACTTGACCTGCCTGCAGACAAAAGACAGATCTGTGCCAAATTCTAGATTCCTATCTTAATTCGTTTTGACTGTAGCGTGATTACAACAGACGGACGGACAGGGCTAAATCGTCTTAGATCGTCTGATCAAGAATAAATATACTTTGTTGGGTCTAAAATTATAATTTCGATGAGTTACAAACGGAACGACCAACTTAATATACCCTGCATATCATGTATGGTGGAGGGTATAAAAAAGGTTAACCATTTTAAATCCACACAATTCTCGTATTGTTATCACTATTTAAAGTGTAGGGATTCTATTCATTCTATTCAACCTACTCATGGAATAGTTAGATGCCCAGGAATATTGATCCGAAAATTTCGAAAAATATGAAAGAGAGGAAAACTTGGCTCCTCAGTTAAGGTTATTTTGCGATGTAAACTTTCAACACTCCGTTACGCTTGTCTTCAATTTTTTAATCTGCTTAATTGAGAAAGAAAGAAATAATAATAATTTTTTCGAACAGTTTAATTATTTAAACCAAATCAATGTTTTTCACATTCCAATAAAAATGGGATTTATTTAATTTTAATTTTTTAATTTTAATTATTTTCCTATCTCTATCTGAATTCTTTAGAGAAAATACAATTTTCGAAATTTCACTATTAACATGTTACCTTAGCAAATTAATTAACAAATGTATTTCTGTTGTAAGGAAATACCTCGTTCCCTGGAAATGAGATTTCATATTTTTATAACGTCCCAGATTTGCAACTACATATTTAACAAATACAAAATAAATATTATGTGGTTATATGCGATGTTGTTTTTTGCTCTTGTTTGACTCCATAATTCACAAGGATTAAAATTCAACAAAACGATGTGTATATGTGTGTGTGGCAAGTTGTCGCTACAATTTTATGTTAATTCATTTGCTTTCATTTCCTCATGGTTAAAAACGAAAAAAATACACACAGCAACTAGCAAAAGAAAATCAAATTTAAAGGGTGAACAGAAATATACGTATACAACTCAAAACATAAATATAATAAGCCAAATAAAATTTAATTAGTTTAGAGTGAATAACACTTTCCCTACTTCTTTGGAAGCAGTCAACATAAAGTCATGAAAGATACATTTTGTTCTTCATAATCCAACAGCATATATTTTCTACTTTTTATGTTGGGAAATTGAATTTAAAGAAATGAAATTTTTGTAGCTTGAAAATTGTTTTAAAATATTTTAACGAAAGCTTTAATGAATTTTTAAAAACGCGTTATCAAAATAGTTTTAAATAGGATTTACTATTTCACCCAAAATTTGGCATTCCGGAACCACTTGATTGATATGTTCAACTACTTCTTTGGTATTAATCATTTTTATGGCAAAACTTTGATGCCTATAAACCATAAAAAAGTCAATAATGTCATAAATTATATAGATATGGAAATATTAGTTGAAATAATATTTAAAATCATAGAAAAAATCAGTTTTGTAATCTACTGGTAGTACTAACATAGATAGCTTTAAGCCGTCAAAATTAAAAGCAGATGTTAGAAACCTGACGATTTTTTTAAATTCGTCAGGACTGGGCTGACGAATTTAAAAAAATCGTCAGCAGAAAGGGCAGTGCATTTGCCGCAAATAATCCCATTAGGAAATAGTGAGTTTCCTACATGACACCCGACGACGAGTCTCGAACTCACTCTCTTCAGTTTTGTTGTCGGATACACCCATTTTATGCCGAGGATAGTCGGCAGTGACTTAGAAACGAGGAAAATAACTTCCTTTGTTATGAACATTTTCTATCAAGTTTCAATTATTTTCATCCTACTAGTTTACTTTATTAACATAACCTTTTACTCATTTGGTCCATACAGCTAACAAGCTACTGAGGTATTTGAGTTTCCTTTTTCAAAATTTAAAAAAGAAACATACTTATTGTTTTGGAAAGTTCTTGTAAGTATATAATGTTTATTGCTAATGTAACAAATCCCAGTGGAATAGAGTGGGAAATTTTCTCTAAATAATATAGACCCCGCGAAATAAATGGTTACAAATCGGATTACTTACCCATTACTTCAATACTTATTTATTTTATAATATGGTCTCATTAAAACAATGGGTTAGTAATCCGATTTGTTTTGAGTTTTTGTTTGAGAAAAAGGAAATGTCTCCCATAGGACAAACCATTTAAGAAACATTTTGTCATAATTAGAATTTTTCTTAATATTTCATCGGTCACCCTGTTAGCAAATTTAATTTTTCTCTACTATGTTTTAAACTCCCATTCCTCCTGGTATGCAGCAACAGTGTTTGTGGTGGTATAAAGTCATTCAGTTGGACATTCAACAGAATCTAAAAATGTAACAAAACTTAATATTTGACCGGGTTTGTTTCATTTTGTAGTTAATGAATAAATCGCGTGTTTGTTTGAATTTTTTAAAGGGATTTCCTTGTTTTTTCTCTCGCCCACTTTCCGTCACTCTGTCCCGCTCTTGCTGGGAAATGAATTCATTTCTTGCCATGGACTTGTGTTTTATGCGTGGTTTTGAATAACCGAAAAAAAAAAATGAAAAAGAAAGACAAAACTTATCCAAAAAGGAATCGGAAACGGAAATGCTGTGTTGTGTTGTGCCAAGAAGAGCAATTCTCAAAACTCCTTTCGTTGTTGAAATTCACAGAATTAATGGTTATTTGAATTTCATTCGTTTTTTTTTTTAATTCTAGATTTTCATTTCTCTGCTGTCTTTTATATTTGTTAATTCCTTTTTCGTGTTTTGCTATGAGTCTGTATATGTGTTGGTTGTATATTTTAACCTTCAAGTCAGCTGGGTCTTTCGACTTCCCAGTAATTGGAAAATTTAATTAGCAATATACTAATTTCATTATATAATCTGTTCGTTGCCACCCTCTTTTCTTCTCCTAAATAACAAAGCAGACTTTTGTCAAATTCCCTATTTTGTCTCTTTTGTGTTTCCTTCATCTATTGAAAACATACTTCGTGTTTTTTGTTTCGTTCATTAAAAGCCGGAAATCTTTTTGAACAGAATTTTATAATTTATTCATAATTTGTACATTAATTAACGTGCTGTGACAACTCAGTTTCCAAATATAATTTTCGTTTATTATTGACAAATATTCAAATGAAGTTAACATGAACTTATTTTGTTTTGTCTTTAGTCTCGCCTTTTCTCTATTTATATCTGGCGGATATTATATTTTTCTTTCAATATGTTTTGGTAATTAGCAATCTAAGGAAGTTTCCAAAAATATCATTTGTATGAAAGGAAAAATATTCCGAGCTTTTTATACCCTACACCACAAGGTGGTCAGGGTATTATGACTTTGTGCATTTGTTTGTAAAAGGCAAAAGGAAACGAGATAGACCCATAGTTGCTTTTGATGATCTGCATAAAATCACATTCTGAGTCGATTTATGCATCTCCATCCGTCCGTCTGTCCATGTATTTTTGTAAACAAAGTACAGTTCGCATTTATTGCCCTATTCAGATGAAATTTTGCACAAATCATTTGTTTGGGCCAAGGACGAACCCTATTAAAATTGGAGATAATCGGTCGAAATTTAGATATAGCTCCCATATATATCTTCGTCCGATTTGCCTTTTATTATGCACCAAACGTGTAATATCAGTCCGAATAGTATAAAATTTTGCACGCACGATCAGATTGGACCTAAAAATAAGTATGACAAATTTGATCGAAATCGGTTCGGATATAGCTATCGCTCCCATATATATTGTTCATCCGATTTGTTATTTTTGTCCTCCGTGGCGCGTTCTGAGTGCGATGTTGCTGTGTACTGTTGGAAAGTGCAAGGTCTACGGCCAAAATGTTTGCGTGCCCAAGGCTTTAATACAACCTGCAGACTATTTTCGCGATAATATTCGGAATTTATT